CTGCGTGCGCTGCGCCTGCTGCTGCTCGATCTGCGCCTGCCGCAGGGCGGCACCCACCAGACCCCGGTGCTGGGCGTCCGCGGCCGCCGGCGGCCGTCGGCGGCCTTCGGCGGACCAACCCTATTGTGGGGTTCTCAATAATCGTGTGGGGGGGGGGCCCCCGACGGGTCAGCCTCGCCTCGTCGTCGCGGCGCGACGGGGGTCGGAGCGCCTGCGGCGCGCGGTGGCTGCCCGCAACGGGGGTCCATGCGGGGCTGTCGGCGGGGGTGAGGTCGCTTGTGCAGACGAACCTGTCGAATCAAGCCGAGCTCGGGAGAAGAGGCGTGGCTCCCGTCGGGTGCCCAGCCCACCCGCCTCCGTGGGGCGCAGGGGGGCGTGGAAGGCAGAACGCTGCGGCGTGCAGGAATCGAGATCACGAGAGCTCCCCAGCTGGCCACGAGGTCGGGCGCTCCCGCCCCCGCCCCTGCCCGCTCTCTTACTTGCCGAGGCGGCCCCAGAGGTCGAACGCACATCGGGCCCGTGCTCTGCTCGTTGGGCAGTCGCCGAGGGACCTCCGCGGAGCCCCCGAGGCGGAGCGCGCCGAGCACCTCCGCTCGGCCTGCTCGGGAATCGCCCGAGGCCCCTGCAGACCCCGGGGGCCGAACGCCCTGCAAGAGAGGGCCGTGAAGGGCCCCCATGGAAGCCAGGCGGAAGCCCCCTGCAGGCTCCGAAGCCCCCTGGAGGCCCACCGGAAGCCCATTGGAGGCCCTGGAGCCCACTCGGCCACTCGGAAGCCTCTGGAGGCCACATGGGAGCCGCCGGAAGCCCGCACAGAAGCCCACCTGGAAGCCGACTCGAGGCCCTCTGGAGGCACTTGGAGGCCAACTGGAGGACCGTGGAGACCCCTCGGAGGCCACGGGAGGCCAAGCAGAGGAGAGTTGGTGGCGCCTGGACGCACTCGGGCAGCCCATGTCGGCGGCGAGCGAGAGGGGGAAGTGAGAATCAAAGGAACCCAGGGACACACAAATAAACAGACACAAATCCCAGGACTCCCCACATGTTCCCATGTGTTCTGGGTTTTCGTCTTCCCCCCGATTCCCTGATTGTCCTACGTTTTCCTGGGAGTCGACGATTAGTTGTGTCTGTGCTTTTTCCCCTCCTCCAGAATGGAGAAGGCCTTCTCAGAAGGGCGGCGGGGCTTCTCAGAAGCCCTCGCGCCCTCTGAAGAGTGTTCTGCGTCTTCTGGGGAGGCTCAGGAAGTTGTTCCGAAGGCTGGGGGACTTCCGAGCCTTCTGAGAGGGCCCACCCCTTCTCAGTTCCCACCCGGGCTCGCCGCCGACTGTGAGCCCCTGGAGGTCCCTGAGCTGCATCGCCCATACGACAGTGCCACTTCGAGAGGCGTCCTGGACCGATCCGACCGATGCCTCATGCGGCCGCCGACGCGCGTGCTCGAATCCATCGAGCCGCGGGCAATCCTGACGAGCTGAGCCCAGGCCAGCTCGGCCCACAGAGCCGAATACGCCCGCGTGTGAGCAACTTGACCGAGGCCCTCGTCGAGCTGTGGCCGCTGGCGCGGACAGCGCCCCCAGAGTGGCCTGCCGCGGTGCGCAGAGAGAGGCGGCCGCTCCTGCAGCTCCTTCTGCTTCGTCTGCTCCGCCAGCTTCGTCACCTCGAAGGCTTTCGCGGCGTTGGGCGAGCTGTCCAGCTCCTGCTGCCGCGGATGGACTCGCCACCCTCTGGGCATCCCTGGACCCCCCATCGACGCCCCGCTCGCACAGGAATTGGAGGATCGGGGCAGGGCCAGCCTCAGGAAGGCCCAACGGCAATGATCCACTCGCATCTTGGCCCCCGGCTCAGCCAGCCCTGCGGCTGGCAAGTGGACCGGCCGGGTGCAGCGCTGAAGCTCGTCATGTACGGTCGGGGACTCTGCCTGGCGTGCCGTGGCGGCGGCCCCTGCGACACGCTACGCCGCGCGAGTGGATAGCGTGTCGCTCCGCTCCGCGGGGCGGAAGGCTGGGAAAGGCTCGGGACGTTGACGCACGGGGACCTGGACGTGGACAGCGCGACGCGCCGAGGCGTGGTGGGCCAGAACCAGCTCAGGAACCGGGGATCGGCCAGATGCAGCGCGGAAGCTCGCCAGTGTATGCAGAGATGTGCTGCTCCTTGGCTGTCCGATACGCAACCCGCAGCACGTGGCGTGCTGACACGGAGCTCAACGCGTGGACTGAAGACGCGGGTCTGGCGCGATGCGCTCGCCAAAACGTGGACTGACACGTGGCGAGCCCACACGCAGCGTGCTGACACGGACGCTTTGAACACGGCCCGTGCTGCGTTTCATCGAAGTCTTGCCATCTCGGGGCGCGCTGCTGGGGGGCGCACAAGCGACGCGGAGGAGATCTGGCAGGTCGTGCGGTCATGCTGCCGGCAGAAGGCAGCCATAGAGAGGGCGGAACAGGACGCGTCCGGAAGGCACGCGGGGGCCTATCTCGCCCTTCCCCCCTCCTGCTGCCCTCAGTCCTCCTCCTCCTCCTCCTCCTCCTCCTCCTCCTCCTCCTCCTCCTCGCCCTCCTCGCCCTCCTCGTCCTCCTCGTCCTCCTCCTCCTCCTCCTCCTCCTCCTCCTCCTCCTCCTCCTCCTCCTCCTCCTCGTCCTCCTCCTCCTCCTCCTCCGCCTCCTCCTCCTCCTTCTCCCACCCTCCCTGGGCTGCCACAGCTGACGGAACGGTAGATTACGAATCCAGCGCTCTGAGTCGAATCGGGAATTTCGTAATATTTGCGATCTGCAACCTCCCGCGCGCTTCGCGCGCACTTAGGTTCCAGCGCGAGACAGGGCAGCGTCCCAGCCAGCACAGGAGGTCTCAGCACACCCGCAGAAACACGCATTGGAGTCCTCGCATGCGTGTCAGCCACCGTACCGATACAGTCGAGGCGTTGACCCGAGGAACCCTAAATAAGGAACTAGGCCCCTTTTTCCCATAAGTTCAACCTCGATTTCCTATGGAAAACCTCCAGAAAACCCGAGGCAAACTTTGAAACAATCAAGGAACACCGAGCCCCTCCCCAACGAAAAGGGTTCCTCCTTCAGCGCCCCGACTGTAGCGCGTTAAGGCGTCGGTCGCCCCGAGACGGCTGAACTATGCCCCACAACCAGACCGAAACGGTCCAATGAGAACACCGAGAGGCCCAGAGATGTTCTCAGCTCCTGACGAGCCCCGGAAGAAGCGCCCGAGGAGTCTTCTGTCAAGTACCGGGAAGGGCAAAAACGCTGAAAGCATGTGCGCCTCGGCCCAAGGTGGCCTCGGGAAGCCTCAGAAAGCCCCAGGATGATCCCGAGGGGCCTCAAGAAGCACCTAAGACGGCCCGAGACGGCCGAAGAGAGCCACAGGACGGCCCGAGAAGCCCCCAACGACGGCCGGAAGAGAGCTCCAAGACAACCTCGGAGACCGCTGCAAGGCAGCCCAGGGCCCCACCAGAGCCTCGACAGAGCTATCGCGCCCCACGAACTCACGAACTCCAGATTGAGCCTCACCCCCTGCGCAAGGGCCACGAGGCGCCACATCATCGAACAAAAAGAAACGGGTCTTACGCGAGATGGCATAGCGACCTTACGCGGTGGCTTACGCAGGCCACCAGCGCGGCACGCTACATTTGGAGGCGAGGGCGCTTACGCGCGACTTTACGCGGGCAGCTTACGCGCCAACGTCGGCACAGTCGACTCCGTTTTCGTCTGTCGCCTACATGGCCACGGGCCACAGGCTACGGAGACGACCCCTGAGCCTCGGACCGCACGAGCCCTCGCACATCACGTCGCATGACATGAGGTGTCACACAATGTAGCGGGGCTTGCCACGTCATGAAATAAATGTGTGTGTGTGTTCCGTGATACAGGGGCTAGAGGTGACGAGCCTCCAGATCCACAGTTGGGACCCCTCCCATCTGCTCAGCACGTCAGAATGACCCTGCGACTCCCTGTTCAGACAAGTATCCCAGCAGAGCACACGAACAGCAGAATGCAACTATTCCAGTGCGGACCTCGCATCTCAATGAAACTCCAGGAAAATGTGGGATGGAGACTCTTCGGACTCGGGGGGGCCGGAAAGGTGAGAACCCCCTGCGCCCCTGATACACTCCTTGGGCCTGAGATATCTGCAACAGTGGGAACCCCATAAGCATGCCACGCTGGCTGGACCTCGGAGACATTTCTGCTGTCTGGACCTGGGAGGCCTGGAACGCTTGGGCCTGGGAAACCTGGAACGGTAAGAACCGATGCCCCATGTCACACTCTCGCGACAGGAGAGGCATGGGATGGTGAGAACCCAGCACGGTGAGGGCATTCGATAAGGAACCATTGGATAAGGAATCCAGGGTCTGGAAGCCAGTGGAACACAAATGCTTGGCTATGGAAATCACCGCCGCCCTTATCAAATAAGGAATTCCCCTGGGTCTGACGCCTCCTGAGCTTCCTTAACCAACGCCCCCACCGTACGCCTCCCGCTCTCCTCAGGACCTGGGAGACCTGGAACAGTGAGAGTCTGACGCCCCTGCCCACCTCCAGGACCAAAGGAGCCTTGGATTGGTGAGAACCCCACACCCCTGCCACTCCTTTGGACCTGCGAGACTGGAAATAATGAGAACCTGGTGCCCCTGCCAACACACACACACACACACACACACACACACACACACACACACAAACAAACAAACACACACACACACACACACACACATTCTGGGCGTGGGAAACTCGAAATAATGAGAGCCTGATGCCGCTGCCACGCGTGCTGGACCTGGTAAGACCTGGGATGACTAGAACCCAGTGCCCCAACACTTCCTGGACACGGGACGCAGAATCGCGTGGGCCTGGAACGCACCATCCTCGAGCGGGCACGCAGTGCACATGGAACGGCTTGGGACGCACAGTTGCGTTGCCCTGGGACGCACCATGCTCGAGCGGACACGCCTGGAATGCACCTGGCACGTTCGGGACGCACCACTGCGTGGACCCTGGTCGCACAGTTCTTGAGCGGGCAGGCACGGGATGCACATCTAAAGAAGGCACGAGGGAACGGTCTGGGAACGATCTGACCTGGATCCGCAGCGGAGCTGGCGACAGCACCAGCAGTAAACCCCCAGGAAGCGAAACTGCGAGAGCATAGTCCGACCTCGGAACCCTCTAGTGAGACAAGCCATCCTCTGGCGGGCATACCCAGCATGCACCTGGAACAGATTGGGACGTCTCACTGTGCGGAGCTGAGACGCACGATCCTCGAATAGGCACGCACGGAACGCCAGGACACACCACTGCGTTCGCCTGGTGCGCACAATCATTGAGCCGGCACGCACCGGATGCACCCGGATGGGTCTGGGCCGCTTTTTGCGTGGGCCTGGGGAGAACCTCCCTGGAGCAGGCGGCCGGAAACGGTTTGGGAACGGCCCGGTCTGGGTCCGCGCCAGATCTGGCGACGGGCCCAGGTGACCCCACAGGGAGCGACCATGAGGCAGCCACGTTTGACCCCTGCTAGGACCACATCGCGCGACGCTGTCAGGGAAATGGGTTTTGCCTGATGGGTTCAAACTCCTTCGGTGCAAGAGGGCCAGATGCGATGAATGCGGGCTCTACAAGGTCATCGGAGGTTCCCTGGGGGTTCTCCGGGGTGTCTCAGGGCTTCTCGGAGCTTCTCGGGGTTCCCTTGCCTTCACTTGCTTTACACTTTGTTGCATTGCATCGCCTTGTTTTGCTTCGTATTGCTTTACACAATGTTGTGTTGCATTGGTTTCCTCTACTTTGTCTTCCATGGTTTGTGCACTCTTCGAGTTGGTTCGTTTCCGTTGCTTTGAATTGCATGGATCGGCACTGATTTGCGTGACGGTACCTTACTGTTATTTGGGGTGTACCGTCTTCGATCGCAATGCACCGCTTTCTTTCGCCATGAGTTGCATAGCTTCGCGCTGCTTGTGCCCAATTGAATTGTATTGCCTTGGTTCGATGTGTATAGCGCCACTTTGCTTGAATTGGTTCGAACTGCGTTGCATTGAGTTGCATGGCGGTCGTTGCATGACTCCGTATGACTTCGTAAGGCGTCGCATTACTTCGCGCTGAGGCCTGTCTGTTTCCATTGGCAAGCATGGTGTTCCAGTGTGTTGCCAGACATTGTCCTGCTGCGCAGTACTTCGCACTGAGTTGCAGTGCATCGCGTTGCTGTGATGTGAATTGCCTTGTCTTGCACCGTACTGCTTTGAGTGAATTGCGTCGGTCTGCGTACCAATGACCGATACAACCCGATGATTTGTGATGCATTGCACTGCCTTGCTTGGCATTGTTTTGCACTGCTTCGGACGAGGGAAGAAACCTGACTGGGGCCACGCTGGGCTCAGACGACCCAGACTGCACGTGCCCTCGACGTGCCCACGTCCACTTGCCCTGCGCGGGAGGCCCTGTCCGAGCCTCGGACTGCTCCACTCGGGTCGGGCGAAAGGGGGGGGGTAGCAAAGGGGTGGTGTGAGAATCAGCTCACGTAGCTGATTCTCCCGGCGCCTCCCGGCGCCGGAGGCGGCCACGTATCGAGGAATGGGCCCCTCGGTGAAGCCGAAACCAGCTGCATGCCGCAAACTTCGTAACCCCCCCTTTCCCAATCCCCCCCTTTCGCCCGGCCCGATCCGCAGGGCTCCCCTGGAAAGCCCCACCAGAAGAAGCCACAAGGGCTCCCAACTTCGCGCTTCGCGCTGCGCGAAGCGCGAAGCGCGAATAACTTCGCGCCCTCGCGCCGCCCCCCCAAAGGGAGAAAAGGAGGACGAGGAGGAGGGGGAGGAGGAACGAGGACCGCGAAGCGCGAAGCGCGAATAACTTCGCGCCCTCGAGGGAGCCCTTGTCGAGGCGCATCCACGAGCGCCGCAGCGCGGTCGAGGCAGCTCTCCCGGCTCCTGCCGCGAGGCGATGCGGGGCCAGCCCGTCCACCACCACCACCACCACCACCACCACTAAGCCTTGCGTCCGCCTGGTCGCGTGGACAGACACGCCGAATGCGTGCAAGAGCGCGGGGGAGCTGACGCGCCAAAAACATGCGCCAAGGAGAACACGAGACACGCCAAACGCGTGCTGGCACAGGAGGGAGATGCCCACGCTGCTTGACTACCTACCAGACCACCCCAACCCAACCCGAAGACCCGAATTTCGGGTTGGGGGGGGTAAGGGCTCCACCATGCGTTTTGTTCGATGTTTCCCGACCCCCCCCCCCACTGGAAATCGAGGGTAAATCTGAGCCTTCGGGTTGGGTTCGGGTGGTTTGGTGGGTGGTGACTGCTAGCCACGGCCCCTGTCCGAACTGTGGGCTCCCAGCGCTCTGTCGACGCGCTCCGACGGGCCGCCCGGCCCGCCCCTGCCCCGCCCCGGGCGGAAAGAGCCCGCTTCCGTAAGCATCCGTGCGCTGCGTATCCACGCGCTGGACCGTGCATCTCCCCCGTGATGCGGCGGACCTCCACCACGGCGAGGGCACTGGATAAGGAACCCTTGAATGAGGAACCCAGGGTCTGGAAACCAGTGGAACACCAATTTCGGGGATGGACAGAACTCCTTTTAGTAAAACGTGGTTTAGTGAAAACGACCTGAGGCCCAAACCTGGCGGACGCAAGCCTGGAAAATAACGGCCACGGCGCCATCTCGAGAACCGAAAACGGACAATTCACTAATCGACGTGTCACTGTTGGGGGTTCTGTCCACCCCCGACAATTGGGACTTGGCCATGGATGTCACCGCCGCTCTCCTCAGAAAAGGGATCCTACAGGTCTCCAGCATCCTGGGCACATTCCTTAAAGAACGCCCCCGCCTTACTTCTCCCGCATCACTGGCCAGACTTGGGGAAACTCTCCGCCTCCTTGCACGTGTTCTCCCTTGACCACGTCTTCGTCCCCCTCATCCGTCTGCACATCAACGACATCCCCGTGATCGGACTCGCGGGACGCGCCCAGCCCTTACACCAATCCGCCCCTGCTGATCCCAAGCGCGACCACAAGCACTCACGCTTCACAAGGGCATGCCGCAAAGCAGGGCCCCCATCTTCGCTGACAACGCATTCTGCCACCAGTGTCAAGAATTGGAGTCGCAGCTGAGGTCGGGCTCTGTCCCCCTTGGCTCGGCTGCGTTCGGAGCAGCAACTCTGAGCACGCGGCCGTGCCACTGCTCCACTCCCAACAACAAAAGGGAGTCGCTCCTTCAGCGCCTTGGCACCCCGTTCGAGCGCCGTCGGGTCGAATTTGCCGGTGATGTTCCCACCAGCATCCTCGCGTTCGGCTTTCTTTTTCCAGCGCGGTTTTGGGACAATGAGGAGCAAGGCAGAGGGGAACGAAGCGCGAAGGAACAGAGCCGAGTGTGTCCCGTCCGAGTGGCCGACAGGCGCTGTGCACTGGACAGGCCCGAGATGGCAAATGCCTGCACCAGGAGAGCCCAGAATCGCATCGAAAAATCGGATCGGCGATCGAAATCGGCGGAACTCGGCAGCCGAGTCGGGAGAAGTCGAATCGGCGATAATCGGCAGGCCCAGCAAACCTCCGTCGAGAGACCAGAATCCAGATCGGAATCCGAAATCGAATCGAATCGGAATCGGAATCAGAGGCCACCGAAATCGAATCGAATCAGAGGAGTCGAAATGAGCCCTGTCGCACTGGCCTGAAACCACGCGCTTCGCTACAGTGGAGGCCAGTCCACAAGAAACCTTCCACCCAAGAAACCCAGGGCACCCTGGAGGCAAGCAGGGTGTTTCTTGGCATGGGCCCCCACTGTACGATGCGCATCCTCGCGCTCGGCTGTGCGGGCCGTTCTGGCCGTGGGAGTGCAAGAGCAGGCAGGGAGAGGGTGGCTGCGGCCTTGGGACGCCTGCCCACGCCTCCTCCGCACTGGATAGGCGCCCATGGACACACGATTGAAGAGGCACAGATCACAGGATTCCCAAGATTTTCCATATGTCCTGGATGTTCGTCTTCCCCTCCATGTCTCGCATATGTTCCCTAATTTCCTGGAGATCGACATCTACTCGTATATGTTTGCTGTATCCCTCCTGGGCATCCCCTGCCCGACTGCCGCTAGAACTACCTCGTCAGCAGGCAGCCAGGGCTGCGCTTCTCGGTTCGGCGCCAAGCCAACCCAATGACCATTGGGAGCCCTCGCTCACGGGGCCATGGAGCGAATGATGGCACGGAGAGCAAGGACATCAGCACTAAAGTAATTGCGAATATGCTGCTCAGAGTTCCCGCGCACTGCAAACGCAGGCACGTTGCCCATTGGCATTACCCTCGTGACTTGCAAACGAGCGCCCCAAGACGGATCTGTCCTGACATGATCCAGCGTCCCCCCCAATGGCGTAGAGAGGGCACCTGGGAGTCGTAAGGTCTGTGGTACCCCTGAAAACAGGCAGTATAATCGAACGAGAAAGAGGTCAAGAAGTCGGATACTCTCCTTCAGACCCACGTGCGACCCTGCGTCGCTATCGCCTCCACTCCCGCTCCTGCTCCCTCAACTTAGGATTGCCGACTACACTGGACTGCGGTATACACGCGCGACGAGGACGTCGCAGTTATGGGGGTCGCCAGGCGAGTCGCCAGGTCAACCTGGAACAATAAAAAATGCTAATAACAGCCCTGATGTAGGCCAGCTGGGTGCAAACAGTTGGTCCACTCAACGCACCACTGGCCACCAAACTGGCAGCCAGCCGACCACCGAAAAAGCGCTAAGGCACAATAGGCGACATGCAGCGGCGGGCGCACGCAACGCAGGCCAGAGGGCGAAGCGTGCCAGATGAGGCACATTTGAACGAACATGCACCCAAGCACGCGCACACATGCGCGCCAGCATCCATGAGCAACAACTTTGGACCCACCCCGACATTCCGTTGACGAGCTCTCGCAACCACCATCGGGCACTGCAGACTGGCTTTCCACAAGGTGTGGCCAGCTGCTCGGCACCCTCCGCGCCTCTGAATTGGCAAAAGCAACGGGTTTTGTCGCCGCGACTGCGGGCTAGCCATACTAGATACCGCCCCACGGAGAAAGAAAGAGGGAGAGGGAGACAGACAGACAGACAGACAGGCAGGCATGCAGGCAGGCAGGCAGGCAGGCAGACGGACAGACAGACAGACAGACAGATAGACAGACAAGCAGGCAGGCAGGCAGGCAGAGAGAGAGAGACAGAGAGCAGACTGAGATGCAACGACACGAAATTATTGCATGCGAGGGCTGCTTGCCAGGACAACGCGCCCGATCTCTTGAGCAATCTTTATTCATTCTGGCACCCGAGAGTCCCCAAACGTTGCTTGCACTGAGGGGGTCTTGCTTGTTTTTTAAGGGAACAGGGCCTGCGCGTCGGTCTGGCGGCTTGGTGGTCGCCGCCGCCGCACCATCGCCGCCTCGTCGCCGCCAGTCGTCTGAGCCTAGGTGGCGGTCCGGCCGCCGTGTGTCGTCGCCGCCCGCCGCCACGCCCCCGAATTGCTCTGCATTGCTGTGCACTGCTGTGCGTCACTTTGCATTGCTTTGCGCAATTTTGCATTGCAGTACATTAACTCGCATTGCTGTGTTTGCTTGATGTTGCACTGCTTTGCCTTGGTTTGCATTGCGTTGCAGTGTGGTTTATTTACGCTGCTGTTTCTCACTCTGCATTGATGTGCATTGACTTGCATTACTGTGCATTGGTTTGCAGTGCTTCGCATTGGTTTTCATTTCCTTGCATCAAACTGCATGACTTTGCACAGCAGTGCAGTGCTTTGCATCGCATTGCATTGCATGGCATTAGTTCACATTGATTTGCATTGCTTGGCGTTGCTTTGCAATACTTGGCATTACGGTGTGTTGCTTTGCAGTGAGTTGCATCGTTTTGCATTGTTTTGCGTCGGGCTGCATTGTGCTATGTCGAATTGCATGTATATGCATTGCTCCGCATTACGTTGCGTTGTTTTGAATGTATGTGCATTGCATGACACTGATGTTCATTGCTTCGTGTTGTGTTGCATTGCTTGGCTTTTCATCGACTTGCACCACAGTGGTTGCACCGCATGGATTGCATCACAGTGATTGCACAACGTATGTTTCATCGCATAGGTTGTGAGAAATCATAGTTGCAGTGTCACGCTGGCTACCATACTGAGTTAGCACCTAGAATATCAGGCACGACAACTCATCCTACGAATGACTCGCAGGGCGACCAGTGACGGGTAGGTCCCGTTAATTAACTAGAATCGAATCAGCTGTGAACTCCCTCCTTGCGTCAGTAAAGGTCCTTCTTCGCGCCCCCGGACGGATACTGCATGGCACCTGGGCTGACAACAGAAAATGGCACCGTAGTCATGGAAGGATTGCAAAAGAAAACCTGGCACGACTGCGCACAGAGGCAAATGCCACACAGTAGCAGCAGAAGTGCCGCACGGCAAGAAAGTAAAAGCATGACCCAGGTAGGCACGGCGAGGCAGAATATTCAATACCATTGACCATTACTACGTGCAATGCATGCGAAATTCGCCATCTTCCCATGTGAGGTGGATCTGCCGCCAGAGGGGACACCTCTGTCATCTCGGCCCTCGGACGACGATCCTCTTCCTGCTCCCCCTTCTGTTCCTCTTCCTCCTGCTTCTCCTCCTCCTCAGCACTCCTTCTAGCTCGTCCTCGTTGACCAATATCGTCCTGCTCTCCTCGGTGCCCCACTGCTGCTGACACCACTGTGAGACTGCGGGCCGCTGGGTAACTGCACCTGCTGGAAAGGCGAGCTTCGAAAGGCTGGCAGCTGGACAGAGAACACCGAACCCTGCCTTGCCCAGAGGGGGAACGCCAGGGGGCAGACTGGCTCTCCGGGGGAGACATCGACCTGGAAGCGGCGAGACGCACGGCTCGAGCGGCACCAGGCCCTCGATAGGGAATCCGCACGCTGCTGGGCGGGGTGGGCTATCGGGCCCCATGTCGGCGATGAATGGGCCATTTGGGGTCGACGCATCCCTCCCCATGAGCACATCCCCCCCCTGACTAGAACAAGAAAAGCGGGCGAAGCACACAAATGTTCGGAGGCCCGTGCTGACTTCTTGGATCGGCGCTGAAACCCCTTTCCTGGCACCCTGGCCAGGGCGCAGCGCCAATCCAAGAAATCCGCGCGGACCTCGAGAAGCCTACGTATATGCCACTTTGCTATTCCTCGACTGGCGTTTGCCGTTTGCCCTCCCCTCGATTGGCGTTTTACGTTATCTTGGATCGCAGCGTTCGTGCAACGAGAAAAACAACAGAGAGCTGCCAAACCGACTTGGGCAGAATGGCCGCACATTTAGCTGCTGACAGGTGCGGGTGGCAGAGATGCGACGAGGCCAAAGTTAAAGAAAAGAAGCCCCGCAGGGCGTAGAGCGGTCCAGAGCTCATGTCAGGGGGGGGGGGTCTGATTGGGGGGGGTCAGATTCGAGCTGTGTTGGAGGTTTGTGGGGGGTCTGGCAAAACAGCAACTCGCTCTTAGTACGAAACGTGGAGCAACCTTGCAAGGGGCCGCCCGAGTGGCCCTGCTCTGCCTTGCCCTCCCGCCCGAGCCCCGCAGGGGGGCGCCTGCAGCCCGGCGCGGACCTGCTCGCCCGAGGCTTGGCGGCGCGGCAGACAGCGGCCGCTGTCTTGGGGGGACGGGCCCCGCTGCGGGCGGCGCGCGACTGCCGTGGAGGGGAGGGGAGGATCGAATCGGCAGTCCGCGGGCCCCGGAGTTCCCGACCCGCTCCCCGCGGGCAGTGTGTCGTCCCAGATCCGTCCCCTGGCATGAAGGATCGGGGAGACGCAAGACTCGGGTCCAGGGCACTGCTGTTGGCCTGACGGGGCCGTCAGGAGAGTGACGAGGCCCAGTCTGAAGTTTGACGCGAGCTCCCGCTGCAGACATCCCACGAAAACTGGGATCAAAATCCAGGATTCGCTCGACCAAAAAGCGTCGGCAAAAAAGAGTTCTGGCGCACTCGAGTCTTGCGCTGCCCCGAAAGGACGCTGGCCCTGGGACCAGCTTCTCATCCCGAGCCGCTGCTTGACGTATGGGGGCCCGCTTGGGGCCAGCCTCCCTCTCAGGAACCGCTTGCTTCACGGCGAGCTTCTTGTGGCCCCCTGGGTGGGGGAGGATCGGATCGGACCGGCCGTCCGCGAGAGCCCCACGATGTGGGAACTTCTGCGCTCTACGCCGCAGAGCGGCAGAGGCACTCCGCACGCACGCTCAGGCGGTCCGGGCAACGGCGAGCGCGAATGGCAACGGCAAGCGCGGCGCGGCCGCGGCCGCGAGGGGGAGGAGGAGGAGGAGGAGGAGGAGGAGGAGGAGGAGAGGAGGAGGAGGAGGGAGGAGGAGGAGGGAGGAGGAGGAGGAGGAGGAGGAGGAGAGGAGGAGGGAGGAGGAGGAGGAGGGGGGGGTGAAGCACAGAGGCTCCATCCCAGCGCCTCCAGGATTGGGGAAAGGGCCGGGCAGCACCACCGAGGTCCCGAGTTCCAGTATGCCACAGGGCCCAGGGTCATCAGGCATCGGGTCCGAATACGCGTACAGCACAGTACAGTTGGGGCGGTATCAGCCCAAAGACTCGCACGCTAAGCTACTGCGATGAGCGACACGTTGGCCACACTCACAGGTGCGTACATGGAAGCACACCCGATCTGACAAACCAAGCATTGAACAGGAAGAGGAGGAGGAGGAGAAAGGCAAAAGACCGACAGCGATATCACCTCTGCTGCGCAATATTGACGCCGTCCTGCCATCGCATAGCGACGAAGCCACGGGCGGCCCGAGTACAAGTGCGGCTTTCGGGGCCTGTACTGTTGATAAGCCGCTGTGTTTCAAGCCACTTGCTATCACGGAATTTCAAGAGAACTGCGGCCCATGAGTTGCCATTCCGGGGCCTGTGCAGGTGCTCATTCCAAGCTACCACTCGTTTGCAATGTTTCATGCTCCATCTTCCTCTGGCCCATAATGGTCGTAGCCTGCCTGTTCCTTCGCCGCACGTACTCAACTGGACCCTCATGGGCGCGCGGGCAGAGACGCATAATGGAGCTGACCATCTTCCTTTGCACTGTGTCGATTCGTACTTGCCTCAACGCTGTAGGCGGCCACCGTGTGCCGCGATGCTGCATAACAGGTAAAACAGATCGGTCCATGAGGGTGCACCGAAGACCCGCCGGCATCTTGGAGGCGACCTTGGAAGCGCAGTTGCCGAAGCACGCTTTCCACATTGACCTGGACGTCCGCTGCCAGCACGTCTGGGCGGAGCCGTTGTCCTGGAGCGTGTGACCCAAAGCATGAAACTCTGTTCTGCGCGGCCACTTTTCCAGATTGCACGGTGCCTCCGAAATCTTCCAAGATTGCGATTGCCCCTTTGGGCGACGAGCCTGCGCTGAATATATTGTCGACATAAGTAGCGACAGTCAGCCGGCCCCCCCCTGCTTGGAAACCGTGTCTCGCCCATTCTTGGTGTCTGTCACGCATCGTGCTCTCGACCGGCACGCGGCCCATTGCGCCGGCAACCCTGGAGCCCGCGAGGGAACCTCGCGCACGCTGCGGGATCGGAATCAAGAGGCCCCCAAGTCTGAGCCGGACAAGCGGAAGCATTTGCTCTCTGAGGGCGCACGCTGCCACAGCATGCGATGCCCCGTTGTCCACCAGCCACTGCGCCACCAACAACAAAACAACGCCGTCGTAATACTTCTCGATGTCTTGCTGTGCCATGGCCCCCTGGCCACGTCCGCCCAAAGCCTTCTCAATGACGAGGTGTAGCCCATGAGCTATGTCGAGCACTTGGGTGCGGGGCCGTGCTCCCACGAAGGTGAAAGCACGGTGAGGGCAGGCACTGTCCACAATAGGATTCAAGGCCGCCGCGCGTAGACAATCGCATATTTGCAAAACAGCCGGCAGTGGAAGGATGGCCCTGGTCTGCGAAGGTGGCGTGGTAGAAGACTCTTTGCCAAATACCCTGCCATTGATCTGCATGCTCGCCATGAGCGGAGACGACCCTAGCAGCGTCTCAAAAAACGATGTTGTAGTCAAAGGACAGGCGGTGAATAGGAGTCTGATGGCCTCTACTGATACACCATATGGTCCAGTTTGGACTTGTCGGCGGGCGCCCTGCAGGCCGAAGCCAGCATGACCTCAGATATGGGCGAGAGCAAGACTCGGACTGGAGGATAAAGTCTACGAGCCGTCGTCTGAGCTGCCGTTGCGAAGCGCCCCATTTCTCCGAGAACTGCGCCTTCATCGGCTCCTGCCACTGAGCCTCATCCATGATAGGTTGGTTGGCCCCGTCCCCTGGTAAAAGCAAAGCCTTGATGGCGTGCAGCTTTTTCGCCTTCTCGAGAACACGGCCCTTCTTGACATCCTCCGTCAGACGCTCGGCAGTGCAATCAGCAATCCGCTGCTTCAAATAGTTCCAAGCAGACGTCTGCTTTTTCTTCCTATCATACTCATTTGTCGTGCTAGCGATCTGGGCATACAACTCGCGAAGCTCGGGTGGAACTCTGCTGGCCCTCCAGGTCGCGCAAGATCGATGGTCACCCCAGATGGTCTGGGCCTGTAGTAGGAAAGAATGAAACTCCTCAAGGTCATCAAAGAAAGGTGGACAATGCTCTCGCATCCACTGCACATAACCATCTGTGTCGATGCACTTCCACCGGGTCTTCGCCGCCTCACGCTTCACGTAGACCGGTGTGCACTCAATGACAACAGTGGCATCGTCTGCAGGGACCCCTTCCCAGCGCACTCCGACAGACCTCACAAGGCCTCGAGTGGCAACACAGTAGCTGAGGAGACTCGGCCTAGTAACTAGTGCCAACTCTCCAGTGGGCATCCTGCTGATGGGCGCCACGAGGCACTGATCGGCAAAAGGCCCGCCAGGAACACCGTAAGAAATGGCAGGCAAGTGCAGTTCCAAATGAAACTGTTCAGTAAACGCTTCGAGGGTGAGCCGCCGATCCGCACGGCGTTGCTCTCGGTCAGCATCTCCGCCCCACGGGTCCCCAACGATGTCCGGCAGCATGTCGATGTTGAAGTCGCCGACGATAGCGACTGCGGAACCGAACGGCCGCCGACGCAACAAAAATGCCAGGTCACCCATTGTGTCGATGAGTAGTTCCCCGTGCGCTCCGTGAACGCCAAGAGTGTACAAATCGATCCCCGGATTATGTAAGTCACCCCTCTTGTAAAGATGTACTGCCCCATATCTTCCCCTCCACGTGCAAGACTTGACAGAAAGCCCCATCCGCCTTCGAATTACGAAAGCCATAGACCACGACCCAATCCCAGGGTAATGGCGATAAACGGCGTGAGTGTCATGACTACCTGGCCTGTCGCCCTGATAGGCGTCAGCCTCAGAGATAAAGATAGCAGCCCACCAGGGAGCAGACATAGAGACGATGCTGATGACAGCTTGAAGCCCCTCCTCCGTACCAGCTGTACGCCCCACGTTAATTGATGCAAGCTGGACTCGTTGGAGGTCGAGTCATTCGCTTTCGGCGTAAGCCTTTGCCATCTCGCGCGTCTCGTCGCTGTAGCGCCCCATGGCCCAGGCGGTCCACTTCCACTCACCCTTGTACGTGTAGCCGACGCGGTTCGACCCCACCTTGATGAATTTGCCGTTGAGGAACTCATCGACTGAAAGATCGCCCTGCCTGCCAGCCTCGACGTCGGACAGACACTCCGCTATGCGGTGGGCGATGCGGCCCGGCATTAGCTCAGCTCGCTCCTTCTTGGCATCCAGCCAGACATACTTCGCGGCCCCCTCACCTCCATACGTCTTGGCGAGGGCCCGTACGGCGAGACGAACTTCCTGCAGACGTTCAGGGCGCTGGAAACATAATTCGGCCCTGCTGCCTAGGTCCCCTTTGCCGGTCACTGCCATCATGTTCGCGTAGTCGCTCTGGTCGACTCGCGCCGAGGACAGAACCTCACGGGCACGTGTGATGAGCTGGTCTTTAGGCAAATCCCATCCGAGAATGCCAATAACTGCGATTGTCCTCAATTTGCATGGGGTTGATGCGGGCTGTGGAGACACTGAAGAAGAAGGAAGGGGAGGCGAAGAAGTAGGCGCACCAGCATTGTTTTCCGACTTCTCGCGGGGCTCCTTGAGCTCGGCCTGCATGCCAGCGATCCCCCCCTCCTGGAGTGTGTTCATTTCTGACTCCATGGTGTTCATGCGCTGCTGCAGGTTGTCGCTTTTGGCTTTGAGGCCCTCAATCTTCTTATCCTGTTCGTCGAACTTACCCTGCATGTGGGACCCGAAAGCATTGAGAGCCCCGCCTACGGCGTCTCGCATCCACTCAGCCTGTGGCTTCGAGAACGGCGCCTGATCCACCGGCTTGGCCTCTGCACCAGGGCTTGACCCCCTCTGCGATTTCCTCGCCGGGCTGCTAGCCGACTTCAGAGAGAAAAATTGATTCAGCGCGAGCCCGCAGCGCGGCGCGCGAAGCCGGGGGGAGGGGGGGATGGGCAGCAGCATCCCGAAGGGGCACTTCGAGCATCGCCCTTGGTGGGCGCTGCGACGCGCACTTGGCCCTGCGGGGAACGCCCCCGCCGAGCGGGAGCGCAAGGGGCGATCCCGACGCCGTCGACGTCGACTTCGCCTCGGAGGCAGCGGCAGCTCTCTGGAGGTGCTCGTCGCCACAGCGGGGCCGCAGGAGCAGCGGA